TTATGTGTGGGTCTCTAAGTGCATATACATATATATGTTGTTGTGTGAACTGCCGTTTTTTTTTTCTTATTTATCTTTATTTTCAATGATTTTTTGTTGTGATGATGGTTTTGATTGAGAGATGTAGTGATTATTTTTGAAGGTGTGTTTCTGTTTTTTTTTTTTTATAGCATTGTTGTTTTGCTGTTGTAATGTTTGCATTACACTCTTTTCGTTTCTCTCTCTCTCTCTCTCTCTCTCTCTCTCTCTCTCTCTCTCTCTCTCTCTCTCTCTCTCTCTCTCTCTCTCTCTCTCTCTTTCTCTTTCCTTTTATTTTAATGCTTTGTCAGTGTTTAAGTGATTATTTCTGTGATTCGATTAATTCTGCATTTGTGTATTTTTTCACACGTAAAAAATCACATAGGCTTACAACAGCTATACGTTAATAAAAATGACTAACGATATTTTCATTCATCTTTTTTATTATGTAAAATAAAACACATAGACCTCCATAACTCATACAATAAAAAACAAAACAAAAACTTACTAACGTTATCCTTATTAATCTTTTTTATCATCATTATATCTCACACAACAATGTAAATATGATCTTATTAATCTCTTTCTCTTTACCTTCCCTTCCATCCCTATCCCTCCCATTCTCTACCCCTCCTCACCCACCTCCCCCCCCCCTTTAGTCCACAAATCGAAATACAGCGTAGCAAATCCGCAAAAACCTCACGGCCGTTACAAAATCTCTTTAGGAAAGGAAAACCAACCTCCTTCTAGAAAATACAGGATTGGAAATAACCTCAAATCTATGTTTTAGGGTTTTTTGGGGGTAAAAAAAAACAACAACATTTAACCTCGTGATGGATGGGTGTTGGAGAGTGAAGGGGAGAGGTGGGGGTGGAGGGTAGAGGAGGGAGGGATGGGAAGGGGTAGAGAGAAGGGGAGAGGGGGGGTAGAGGAGGGAGGGATGGGAAGGGGTAGAGAGAAGGGGAGAGGTGGGGGTGGAGGGTAGAGGAGGGAGGGATGGGAAGGGGTAGAGAGAAGGGGAGAGGTGGGGGTGGAGGGTAGAGGAGGGAGGGATGGGAAGGGGTAGAGAGAAGGGGAGAGGTGGGGGTGGAGGGTAGAGGAGGGAGGGATGGGAAGGGGTAGAGAGAAGGGGAGAGGTGGGGGTGGAGGGTAGAGGAGGGAGGGATGGGAAGGGGTAGAGAGAAGGGGAGAGGTGGGGGTGGAGGGTAGAGGAGGGAGGGATGGGAAGGGGTAGAAAGAGAAGGGGAGAGGTGGGGGGGGTAGAGGAGGGAGGGATGGGAAGGGGTAGAAAGAGAAGGGGAGAGGTGGGGGGGTAGAGGAGGGAGGGATGGGAAGGGGTAGAGAGGGAGGTATGGGAAAGGGTAGAGAGAAGGGGAGAAAGGGGAGGGGAAGGGAGGGAAGGGGAGACAATGATACTTAAAGGGAGGGGTTAGAGAGAGGGGTAAGGTGTAGAGAGAAGGGGAGGGGATAGAGAGGGGAAGGGGAGACAAGGATTCTTATAAAGAGGGGAGGAGGTAGAGAGAAGGGGAAGGGGAGAGGGAGAGGGAGACAAGAATTCTTACAGGGAGGGGTAAAAGAGAGGGGTAGAGAGAGGAGGGGGAGATTAGAATCCTTACAGGAAGGGGATAGAGTAAGGGGGAGGGAGGGAAGGGGAAACAAGGATTCTCATAGAAACGGTAGGAGTTAGAGGGGAAAAGAGCCAAGCATTCTTACAGAGAGGGGTTAGAGGAAGAGGAAGGAATAGAGGTTGTGGAGAGATACCCATTATTAAGGGGGATGGGGTTGGTGAAGTAGGAGAGGCAACCCCACAATTTTATGGTTTGCAGTTTAAGGGGTTAGGGTAGAGAGAGGGGGGGGGTAGGGGGGGAGGAAAAGCAGATAACTACAAACCCCCTGAAGTTGTTTCGGGGGGGGGGGGGGGGTAGAGGGGGTTAGGAGGGAGAAAGCAGATGACCCCCTGAAGTTATTTCGGGGGGGGGGGAGGCAGAGGGGGTTAGGGGGAAAAAGCAGAAAACTTCACACTCAGCCTGATATTATTTTTGTTGTGGGGGGGGGGGGGTAGTGAGCGTTAGGGGTGGGGGGGAAGCAGATAACCCCACACCCCTTGAAGTTATTTCGGGGGGGGAGGGGAATAGAGGGGGTTAAGGGGGGAGCAAAGGAGCATACAACCTCCCCCCCCCCCGCTATCTATCAGGTTATTATGAGTGAGGTTGAAGTGTATTTAATTACCCCTTTTTTTTTAATTGGAAAATCTCAGCTTCCAAATTTCAATTAAGTTTTTGGATCTAAAAGTTAGGTCAATTTTTTTATTTTTTTTTATTTTTCCTTTTTTTTTTTTCTTTTAAACACAAGACCGGTCTATTATCTGAATACAATTAAAACGCAGTTAATACGAAGACGTTGATTGGATACCAAATTTGTTGATAAGGAATGCCAGCACATTAAAGGCCATCGTGCCATAAGGCTTGACATCCGATCCTTTCGCCATTAACTTGATATCATCTTTAAGGTAAAAATTTGCATTCATAATATTCTAATCAGTGTGTGTTGGGGGGAGGGGGGAAGGGGGGAGGGGGAGGGGGAGAGGGGGGGGGGAATTCACAAACGAGTTATGACTAAAAGCTGCATACTTCATTAACGAAAGACGGAACAATTAGCGAAGGCGACTATTACGTCATCTTAATGCTCGTTCGAAGCTTCACAAAATGACAAAAGAAACGCTCCGGTCGAAATGGTGGGTATAAGTCTACGGGGGTTGCACGCCACGGATGGATGGGGGAGGAAAAAAAAAATTTGTTCAATTCTTTGTTTTTTTTTGTTTGTTTGTTTCTTTGAGGAATTAAAGGGGGGATTATACTTTTTTTTTTTTGTAAATGATAAGGCATCAAAGAAAAACAAAGCAGATAGAAGTAAACATTGCGGGAAAATATACAATCAAATATACAGTATGTATACACACACACACACATACACACACATACACACACACACACAGACATATATATATATATATATATATATATATATATATATATATATATATATATATATATATATACATATATATTTATATATGTATGTGTGTGTGTGTGTATACATATATGTATATATATATACACACATGTATGTATGTATATATAATTGTATAAATACACACACACACACAAGTAGGAGGAAAAGAATGATAGATACAGCGACTAGAGTATAAAGAATGAGAAAGAGAGAGAGAGAAAGAAGACGGCAGAATGAAGGAACAAACAGAATAAGAAGAAAAAAGGAGGAAATAAGGAAGAGGAGAAGGAAATTAAGAAAAAAAAACATCCATCTTCCAAGTCACGCTTGTCTCTCCTCCTTTTTTTCTTCTTCTTCTTCTTCCAAACATTCCATCTCCCCCCCCTCGTCATCCCCCCTCTCTCCCCCATCTCTCTTCTCCCCCCCCCCCTCTCTGTCCCCGGCTCCCTCGCATTCACGGCTCAGTCAGTGATCAGTCATGTCACCTAATCAAAGCTAGGTGGGCACTTTCGCTCTCCCTCTCTTTCTCTCTCTCTCTCTCGTTCGCTCGCTCGCTCTCTCTCTCTCTCTCTCTCTCTCTCTCTCTCTCTCTCTCTCTCTCTCTCTCTCTCTCTCTCTCTCTCTCTCTCTCTCTTTCTCTCTCTCTCTCTCTCTCTCCCTTTCCCTCTCCTTTTTCTCCTTCTTTCTTACTTTTTCGCATTATTTCTCAGTCATTTTCCCCTCTTTTTTTCTCTCTTTTTTAATCTTTGTCAATTCTCCCAACACCCTTCTCTACCTATCTATCTATATATCCGTCTATCTATCTATTTATCTATCTACCTAGCTACCTATTTATCTATCTACCTACCTATCTATTTATCTATCTGCCTACCTATCTATTTATCTATCTACCTACCTATCTATCTATCTATCCGTCTATCTATCTATTTATCTATCTACCTAGCTACCTATTTATCTATCTACCTACCTATCTATTTATCTATCTACCTGCCTATCTATTTATCTATCTACCTACCTATCTATTTATCTATCTACCTACCTATCTATTTATCTATATATCTACCTATCTATTTATCTATCTGCCAACCTATCTATTTACCTATCTGCCTACCTATCTATTTATCTATCTACCCACCTATCTATTTATCTATCTACCCACCTATCTATTTATCTATCTATCTACCTATCTATTTATCTATCTGTCTACTATCTACCTATTTTTTTATCTACCTACATATCTATTTATCTATCTACCTGCCTATCTATTTATCTATCTACCTACCTATCTGTTTTATCTATCTATCTACCTATCTATTTATCTATCTACCTACCTATCTATTTATCTATCTACCTACCTATCTATTTATCTGTCTATCTACCTATCTATTTATCTATCTACCTGCCTATCTATTTATCTATCTACCTACCTATCTATTTACCTATATACCTACCTATCTATTTATCTATCTACCTACCTATCTGTTTATCTATCTATCTACCTATCTATTTATCTATCTGCCTATCTATCTATTTATCTATCTACCCACCTATCTATGTATCTATCTATCTACCTATCTATTTATCTATCTACCTACCTATCTATTTATCTATCTACCTACCTATCTATTTATCTATCTACCCACCTATCTATTTATCTATCTATCTCCCTATCTATTTATCTATCTATCTATCCATCCCTCTCTCTCTCTCACTCTCTCTTTTATAATATGTATTAATATTCACGCTTTCTCCCTAGCTCCCCTCGTTAGGTTGCCGATGGGTCGAAATTCCTAAGCTTACTGAATAGGATTTTCACCCTTACGTACATCGGGGTGTGCGTAGCTACTTCTTGCCCGCTGAGGGAGACTGAGTGATAAGGTAGCCTATTTAAAGTTCTATAAAAAAAAAAAAAAAAAAAAAAAAAAGTTAGAATTTTGAAAGGGGACTTTGAAAGGGAACTTTTGGGTCGG